TTCAAGGGCCGCTTCACCATCTCCAGGTACAACCCCATCAACCTGCTGCACCTGCAAATGACCAGCCTGAAGCCCGAGGACACCGCCCGCTATTACTGTGCCGGGCTGTCACCGCGGCCTGACCCATCCCAGCAGAGACTCTGATCTCTCCGCTTTAAGCACTAACTCCCCGCTCCCCAAACGCCTTTGTTTGCTTCCCTGCGCTGCTTTACTGGTTTGTCTGTTTCTCGGGTTAGCTGAATAATTCCCATCCGGACCGGCTTTTCTGGCAAAGAGCATTTTCCTAGGATCAAAAGATCGAGGATTAAACTAATTAAATGACTCCACCCAATAGTCATTTTCTTCTTTTAATATTAATGCGAAGGGGGCATCAGTGTGTGTGTGGGGGGGAGAGGGGGACAGCAGCGTCCTCCTCTCCCGTCCCCCAGTGTGTGTGTGTGTGGGGGGGGGGAGTGAACAACCCAGCCCATCCTCAGGAACAGACTGAAAAGTGGGAAAGTGAGGCAGGTGGAAATCAACATTTATTCCCCACCAAAGCCACAGCACAGACACCTAGTCTGTGTATTGGCTCAGACACCTAGTCTCAGCCTGAGCAGTTAACAAGGTTCTTCCCAGAGGAAGAAACAAAGGAAGGGAGGCGAAGACGACCACCTGGCTGGGGGCAGGCCCTGGGAGCTGCGGGTCTTGTGGCTGAGGCAAGCATGAAGAAAACAGACTAAGTCCAGTACTGGGGGATTCACATCTTCTGAGGGCCTATGAACCCCTTCCCCCCAAGAGGTCTAAGGCTGTCTGCCCTGGCCCTCAAGTCAATATCGAGCCTGTGCTGTATCTCGGAGAAGCAATTCTACTGGCTGGCGGAGTCACATCTGGCTGCTGATGAGGGTGCCCGGTAGGGGGCTCCCGAAGTGCCATCACATCCCCTCCTCAAGTATTTGCGTCTGCTGCTTTTCCAAAATGGCCCCCCAGCCCATCTAGGAGCGCTCCCTGCCCCGCTACTTGTGATCAGCATCTCAGGGCAGGAGCGGTGTCTGCACCCGGTAGGTGAAGCACGATAGGGGGTGTGACGTAGTGGGGGTACCTGGCTGGGTTCTATGCTGCTGGGGGGGGGGTAACCCCCACTGGCTGCAGGTGGTACCACGGCCCCGTAAAACA